GCCGTCATCCTGCCGCCGCGCAGGCGCTTCTGAGATGAAGCAGAAACCACAGTGTGGTGCTGGCCTTCCCGCGTGGCCCTCTCCTGTCTCCCGGCCGCGTGGCCTCATGGCCTCTCCCCCGGCTGAGGGGAAACCCGGGACGTGCCGAGGGACAGCCCTCGCCCTCCAAGGTGGCCTTGGAGGCCGGGGGCTGTCCGGCCTTCTGACAACAGCCCAGCCCCCGGCTGGGGACCTGCTCAAGGTTGCTGAGCTGTGTAGGCCTCTGCCCCTCCCCTGGGGAGGACCCTCTCACCGCCGGCGCTTTGTTGTGTCTGCGCAGGGACACGGAGCTGCGGCAGCGGAGGCAGCTGTTCGAGGCCGGCCTCCACTCCTCTGCCCGCTACGGCAGCCACGACAGCACCGGCGCTGTGGCAGATGGGAAGAAAAAGCCTCGAAAGTGGCTGCAGTTGGAGACCTCGGAGCGGAGGTGTCAGATCTGCCAGCACTTGTGCTACCTGTCCATGGTGAGCTGCCTGGGGACCCCAGGGCCTCCCGTACCCCACAGCGCGCCCGGCCACCCCACGCCAGGACACCTGTCCGCAGTCCCAGCAGACCTCTCAGCCAGACCTGGTCAGCAGCACCAGGCTCCACGGAGAATGGGGGGTGCGAGGTGGGCTCCCCGGGTCGGGGGGACACGGGGCATCTCTGTCCTGGATGCGGCCCTCGCTCCTGCTCCCGCCAGCTACGTGGCCCGGCTCGCTGTCGCCAGGGCTCTGAAGCCCGTCTTCGGTGGCAGGCGTCTCTCTCCAGGATTCTCGTGTCTCCCGCCGCGGCTGCAGCTTCCTCTCAGGCCTTTGGCTGAGGGCTCTGCTCTCTGGGATCCCTGAGCCAGCGCACCTTCCCCCTCCAGCCGCGGGCCTGGCCCTTGGGCCTCTGGTGCCGGCTCGCCTCCCGCCTGTGCAGGTTCTTCCTCCAGATAGACGCGTAGATAGTGAGGGCCCCCGGCCCCCCGCGGCAGCGAGTGCCTCTCAGCTCCGGCCTTGCGCCCGCAGGCCGTGTCCTGACGCTGCCTTGTCCTGGGTCTCTGGGGCCAGCCCCGCCGGCCTGCCGCTCCTAGCTGAGTCAGGTACTCTCTAGAACTCTCTAGATCAACTGAGAAGGGGGTGGGGGGGCCACTGTGCTAGCTGGGGGCTCGGACACGCTGCCTCCCCGCGTGGAGGCCGAGGCTGGCTGGCCTGAGGCCCTCTCCTTGGCTTGCTCCGCCCCTCGCTCCTGGGAGAACCCCAGTCCTGCAAGACGGCCGCATGCCGCCTTGCCGAGGCCCAGCCCGCAGCCGTGCGGCGAGCGCCCGGGGATCAGGAACGGCCGCGTGACCGGCGGGGCAGCGGCGCAGGCTGTGGTGGCCACTTGTCCCGTGGCGCACGCTCTCTTCTCGAGCCTCTTTTCTAGGTATTTTTTGAAAACGGAATTGAGAACCGTGTTATCTTGTCTTGGTTTAATATCCGCAGCAGCATCACCCTAGATGGGACGGATGTTTTGTAAACATCACTCCTAAAAGCTGCTTCGCTCCACCCTCCCCGCAGTTCCCATGGGAAGAGGCGGTCGCGCCGCTTCCCATGCGCGGGACTCCGCGAGGCTCTGGCGGGCTGAGCTCGGGGGCGTGTGGGCCTTGGGCCGTCCCTGCGCCAGGCATCTCTTCCCGGCCGCAGGGCTCGTCTTCAGAGAAAGCATCCTTGGGAGAAATTCCTTGGGAGAAATCAAGGTTCTGTTTATCTTGGCAGCTTTCCTTCCTCGGATCACTTCATAAGTTTGTGCATTTTTATTTGCTTACCATGGCTCCTATTTTGGTCCGTTTCTGTCCTGGGCCCCAAGTGTCATTCAAGGCTGATGTGGTTGTGCCAGGAAGGGTCGCTTCTTCATTCCTGCCGCTGCTCTCTCAGCTGTGCTTGGGAGCCGTGGCGGCAGGAAGATGGGCCTCACCCCAGGCCTTTCTGGAACAGTCCTGTGAGCCGCTCGCGTCTTGCGTGTGAGGACAGCATCGTCCCTTCTCTGCACAGCACGAAGACGGGGCTGGACGTCAGCATGAGGGTTGGGAACACATACACAAACACCGCGGCCCGAGCTGCGGCCCCTCCCCACGCGCGTCTGTCCACACGGCCTGCCGGTGCCCCACCTGGCCTCGGGCAGATCTGAGCTTCCGCCCGGAGGTGGCACGTCGGGGCGTTCGGAACAGGTGCTGGGTCACTCCGTGTGCGCAGCCGGGCTGACTGCAGGCGGAGTGACAGGCCCGGGGCCGTCCTTGGACAGGTCTCCTGAGTCCGTTTCTCGCCTGTCACGGGGAGGCACGCAACGGGCAGAGGGGACGCCGGCCACCCTGCGGGGGTGCCTCCTGTCGGCCATTAGGGCTCCACTGAGGACTGTGCCTGGCGACCGCGTCAGGCTTCCCGTCACCTGGCAGTGCTTTGGGTCACACATGCCCCTTAGCCTGGCACTGCGTATTGGGGCGCCAACCCTCCAGGGCCGCCTCTCCCAGCGTGTCCGCCGCACCCCAGCTCAGGCGTGTCTCCCTCGCAGGTCGTGCAGGAGAACGAGAACGTCGTGTTCTGCCTGGAGTGCGCGCTGCGCCACGTGGAGAAGCAGAAGTCCTGCCGGGGGCTGAAGCTGATGTACCGCTACGACGAGGTCAGTGCACGCCCGCGGCGGCTGCCCCAGGTCCGAGCGTGGGCCTGACATGGTGGCCAGCCTGGGCCTGCTGGGCGGAAGGCGCGGCTTCTGCTTGTTTGCTCTGAAGTGGGGAGACAGGGGCAGGCGCCGAGAAGGCTCCAGAGACGTCTTGCTGTTAGAAGCTTTGCTTCCTGCTTTTTGACGGCGACTAGAGCTCCGTGCCGGCTCCCCTCCTTGCGCTGGTGCGGACTGGCCGGGGCGGGCGCAGGGAAGCGGTGGGCAGAGCCCTCTGGCCCCCTGCAGAGACTCCGGGCCGCTGGAGCAGAGAATCCTGGGGGACCAGCAGGGCTCAGGCTGCAGGGGGGCGGCCCTGCCTGCGTGGGAGCTCTGCCCCAGCCCTGGGAAGAGCCCCTCAGGGTGCCGAGGGGCCATCCCTGTGCCAGTCCCTGCGCCTTGCCTGGAAAGGACAGCGCTCAGGGCCCCAAGTTCACGAGGCCTGTCCTCAACGGCCTCCTTTTGGCTCATCACTGCTCCTGGGTGGGCCTGGGAGCCGGGAACAGGGCCAGTGGCCACTGTGTGTGGGTCCCCCTCCCCAGCACATCCACTCCGCGCCCCAGTGAGTGGCTGGGGTTTGGATCCTGCAGTGTGCTGGGGGCTCAGGAACTGCCAGGCGCGGCAGCTTTCTTGGCCTCGCCCTCTGCCAGTAGGACCCTCCCGGGTGGTCACACCAACGGTGTCTCCAGACGCGGGCACTGTCCCGCGCTGCACAGCGCCCCGGGCCCCCGGAAGCCAGGCCCACCAGTGCCACCCGAGCCCGCCGGCATCTTGGTCGGCATCCGGGGCTCAGCTGACGACGGGTTAACTTCCAGGATCCGGTTGGCGGTACCCAGAGTGCCGCGTTGTCTGGCCCGGCTACTTGAGGTCAAGGGGATGCGCTGCTGTCTCTGGCCAGGCCCAGGTCTGACCAGCAGGGTCCTCCCTCACCACTGGGTCTGGACTGTGGGGGGGCGGCGTGCTGAGTGGCTGCTTTGAGAACCTCAGAACCCAGTCTCTGGTCTTTGGGGGTCTCAGAGAAGACACAGTTTAGGTCCCAGAGGCAGGGCCAGGGGTCGCCCTACTGCAGACGGGACCTGAGCGAGGGCCTGCCCTGGCCTCACGTACCACACACTTGCCTTTGGGCTTCACTCCATCGGGCTGGTGAGCCTGCTCTCGTGAGGAGAGCTCAGGGTGTCCCTTCCTCTCACATATGTCTGCCCCCCTGGGCCCCAGGGCGAGCGGCTGCAGCCTGGTGCTTGCCTAGAGGACAGGCCTTCCAGCTTTTATCTCCATAGGCGCTTGTTACCTCACCTCAAGCTTGTTACCTCACCTCAAGTGTCAGCACAGAGCTGCCTCGGGCTGTGCGTGTGGAACAGGAGCCTCTCACCTTCCTGCAGATGCTTTGGCCCCACCTTGCAAATCCCCCAGGTCCAACCAGCTCTTAACATTTAAAAGCCAGAAAAGCCCAGATCCTGTTCCTCAGGGAGCCCCTCCTCGCTCCCCAAGCCCTTTCTGAGCCCTCCGGCTGGTCCCACAGATCCCGTGGCCAGGGCGCCGCCTGGCTGCTGGTCTCCAGAGGCACGTGACTCCGTCTCGAGTCAGCCTTTTTGACGGCATGCCTCGCGGGGAGCCTTCCCACCCCCCAGTTTGTTCCGTGTTAGCCGGCAGCTCCCTGGAACACAGGCTGTAGGGGCAGGACGGACACAGGGCAGGTTTTCTGATCCAGCAGACGGGGTAAGGAGGAGTCCTGGAGCCCTCAGTGGCTTTTGCAGGCTTTTATTGGGGTTCACCAGGCACACAGCAGGCAGGGAGCGCCCCTGGCTGACCTCCCAGCCCCCAGCAAGTCTTCACTCTGGGCTCTCCGGCCTTCTCTCACATTCTCTGCCCTTCTCATGGCTCTGCTTCTCTCTCAGCTTCTCTGCTTGTGCTGATGCCCCGTGACACCGCCCTTAGAAGCCCAGTCTCAGCCCAGGTGAATCCCATGTACACACGCCCACCCCCTCCTCCAGGTGCCCGCCATCAGGCATGCATTCGGGACCGCAAGGATCCAGCATCTTTCCTGATGGCGGGAGGCCAGAAAAGCCTGATACTTTTACCTCACCCTACACAGGCCTTGCCCCTCAGGGCGCGTTCACCTCTGACTTAACTGGGGCCGTCTTGGGATCCCTTCTCGGTGGGGCCCGTCGCCCTCTGGTGGTCCCACTGCTGCTCCCACCAGCAGGTCCCCCCCAGGCCCTGGGCAGCGCCGGCTCCCGGGCTGCGTGGCTGCTGTGGCCACCTCCTCCCCCCCCCCCCCCCCCGCAACACACACCCCGGGCCAATCCAAGGCTGCGGGGCCCTTGGCGGGTGACGGCATCCGCGTCTCCGGACAGGTGGTCGTGCGTATGGGGCAGGCTGTGGGCAGACTCGATGCGCCTCTGGCTAAATGACAAGGCTGGAGAGCTGGAAATAGACCTCAGCGCATCTTCTTTGTTTTTCAAGAGCACGTAGAGCAAGGCAATAACCGCCGTGCCCGCCTGCTGCTTTGCCTTAATAGCAAACGTCAGAGCATGGTTAAAAATAAGCCCGGGGTGAGTAAGAGGCTGGTGGCAGCACGCAGGGCTCGGTGCTCTGCGAAACCCGGTTTGCTGCCCGCCCGCCCGGGCCGTCGTGCTGCGGCCAGACCCTGGGAGAACCGCGAGGAAGGGCTGTGGGCCTGCAGCTTAGTCATCGCTGTTGATAAGGAGAGAGAGGTATTTAGAAGCCGCCTTTGCCAGTATCCGCATTTATTTTAGTAAATGGAAATCTGCCTATCAGTTTCCTCTCGAGTTGTGCATTTTTTTTTCCTTATTAGGGGGATTTCTGGCCCTGAGGGGATTTCAGAAATGGCCCCAGACCCCCGAGCACACTCGCTGTCCTGAGTTGCTCCCGGCAGACGGGCCTCCCCGGTCTCCCCCACCGGCCCTTGTGGCTGCCTTGTGTGGTGGGGCCTCGGCACGAGTACCTGGGTTTCACGCACACCTGCTGCTCCTGCCAGCACGTCGGCCCATCGCAAGTGCTCTAGGTGATCAGATTGGCTTTTCTTTCAAATATGCAATCCTGTCCCTTTTTTTCCCTGTTTCTGTTTGCCGTTTCTCCTTCGTGGGGGAAAAGGAGGGCGTCACTGCAATGTGCAAGGCCGGGTGAAGGAGCCCTGGGGTCAGGGCAGCCAGACACCAGCAGCCTCAGGCGCTGCCACCATCCTGGCAGCAAGCTGAGCGAACTTGCGTCCCCCTCCTCGCTGCCAGGGGCCTGGGGTGGGAGCCGCTCACCTCGCCAAGCTCCAGTTCAGGGTGAACTGAAGCTCCAGTGCGGGCCTGTGGTTGAGGCGGCCTGCAGGGCAGCTGGGGGGCGGGAGGGGCTGCAAAGGCGTGGGCTGGCTGCACAGGGGGCGCCGCTGCGGGTGTGTGGTGACACGGGGGCTGGATCTCCCGGCCTTAACTTAGGAGTCTTTTCAGACCTTAGAGCCACGGTAGTAGGCTGCCTGGATTTTTGGAGGGGATGAGGTTGGGAGGCGGCCAGCAACAGGGTGGGGGGCTCTTGGTGCAGCCCCCACACAGGGCCGGCGGGCGCCGGCCCAAGGTGAGAAGTGGCGGGGTTTGCTCCTAGAAGGAAAGTGTCTCAAGTCCCCGCGACGTATCGTTCCAACCTGGGCGGCCGCAGCAGCAGGGGCCCTGACCGCACCCAGGCCGCGCGGGGAGCCTGGACTTGTTGTTTTGGTGAAGGCTGCTCCGAGCCCCGGCGGGGGGGTGGGATGGGGTGTCGTCTGGGGACCCGGCTCTTCTGGCTGGTTAATCCCGTGTCTTCCTTTCAACCCGCAACAGGAACAGATCATCAGCCTGGTCAACCAGATCTGCGGCAAGGTGTCTGGTAAGAACGGCAGCATCGAGAACTGTCTCAGTAAACCCCCACCAAAAAGAGGGCCCCGCAAGAGAGCGACGGTGGACGTGCCGCCTTCCCGGCTTTCCTGCTCCAGCTCATCCAAAAGTGCTTCGAGCTCGTCGTGAAGATGCCAACACCCGTGGTCGATTGATTGATATATATTTTTTTGTAATTATTATATTCTAGTTTGGAGTACTTGCCGTAGGATACAAGCTGTCTTTGCACTAGCTCTAAAGAAGATTTTCTTCTGGTTTTAGAGAACTAATTTTGTTTTAGCATTAAACTGTTGAACTTTTTTTTGTACTTAGAATACCTAGATACTGCAGTCAGATTTTGGAAACTGCCGTATATCCACTGTTTTAAAACCCTGAGGGGCCGTATTAATTTGTATCGCCCCCGACGGCTGACAAAAGCCTTTTTGTTTGTTTTGAATTTTTTTTTTTTTTTTTTTTTGTAACTGTTGGGGAAAAAAAGGCTTTTTAAACCCATTTTTGAAGAGGGTGAAGTTTGGAGAACAAATTTTAAAACATCAGTCATGTGAGCAGATTTTTCTAGCGAGGAAAAGGGATAGGAGACACACACACACACACACACAAAACTTGAAAAGAAATGGCTTTACTTTGGCTGTCTTTTCTTCTGTCATGTGCAAGATGAGTTTGTAATTTTAAAACCGGAGAACCCCCATGTTGTGTGTTTGGGCGGTTGTGGCAGCTGAAGGCGGACTTTTGTTTCCTAACCATGGGCGATGAGATTCGAGTGGCGAGGGTCTCTCTACCAGCACATCACTATGCATCTGTTGAAGGAAGGAAAAGGCGCGCGAGAGGGAAAAGACTGCCTGCCTTGGAGGGGTCACGTGAGGGAAACCTGTGCCTGATTTCATTAGGAAATCCATTCTGTTATTTTTGGTGCTGTTGGCTACTTTATCAAAAAACCCTTCAATAGCATCCTTAAGGGAAGGAAAAAAAAAAAAGGAAAAAAAAAAAAGGAAAAAAAGTGGTCGAAGCCGCAAGGGCTTCGCTGTCATAGACGTGCAATCTCTCGAACATTCCATCCCCACATCACTGCTCGTTTCTCACCTTCACAAGTCAGCATTAATCTTTCTTTTTCAGTCTGTTTCGTTGATGATCACACTTAGAGCCACTAGGAGGTCTGCAGTTCTTTTTGAATGTGAAATGCATCTGCGCTCATCTTGTCTATTTTTTCTCTTCATGTTGTAACAAAAAAGGAAAAAAAAAAAAGTTTAAAAAAAAAAAAAAAGCCCGTCCCTTTTGTACATACGCCTGTAAATTGTTTTAAATACTTGAGCCTTTTTCTCGGTGGGGGGGTGGGGAGGGGTGAGAAGACAAGATGAAGAAAAGCCTTACGTTTCCGTTTCTTCATCGGTTGGATTGGATGCTTACAGGGTTTTTCTTGTAACATTTATAAGTGCTGCTTACATCACTGAACAACAACACAATAATAATGGAGTAGCTGTTGCCCTTCTCCGGTTGTGTGTACAGTATGTGTGGAATAAAAAAGGGAAACTGTTTTCACAAGCTGTTCTTCGTTTCATAATTGGACTCATCGCTCCCGTAGCTCCCCATATTGCACTGAGCTTGCCAGTGGGACTGTCAGGGCGTCCTGTGATACACTTTGTCGGTTGTTGTTGCAGAAGACTGAACTGTTTTGGAATATTTAACAATGGCATAAACGGTCACGTGTTTTCCGATGTGGTTGTCCGGTTTTTATGGCCTTGCTGTGTACACTTTCCCTCTTTGGACAGTAAACTTCTGCCTACGGCTTACAGTTTGACATTTAATTTATTAGCGCTGCTCTGCACTCCTCCCGCGGGAGGGGAGACTTCATGTTGTTTATTGCCAGTTTTTGTTTACTTTTCAGGTTTGTACTACAAGGTTTAATAATAAACAAAGTTTTTTGGACATCTGTCTGTCTTGTGGAAGGTGAATGACACGAGCTCGCTCTCACCGTGGGCGGAGGTCCACCTTAGCCCGGGAGGGGCGCAGACACCCCACTTCTGACTTCCCCCCGCTGTGCGGCCGGCTGATGGGAAAGGGGAGCTCTTGGCAGGAGAGAGCGGGCGCTGCTTTCAGCTGAGGCGTCCCGCCTCCCTCGGGCGCAGGGGCGCGCTCTGGCACCGGGTGGGGCTGGTTCCCAGGCTGTGGACGATTTGCCACGACCCAGTGAAACCCACGCTGTTCAGCGAGGAGGCTGACTACGGTTGTACTTCAGAGGAAGCCGAGTCTTTTACTCTGTAAAAGGGTTTTTATTCTGGTCACACTGCCCAGCCCCGCCTGGTGCAAGCCCCGGGCTCCCAGGCCCAGCCACGGCTCCTGCGCCGGGGCCTGCGGGAGGCGTTAGAAGCCTTCCAGCATAAACTCGCGATGGACTCTGGGTTTAGGTCCCGAAACTTTATTGTTACCTGTTCTGTCAGTTTCCCGGACATTATTGGCAATTTTGTAGAAATGAAGCCTCCGGGACCGGCTCCGCGCGGGCTGAGGCCGCCCCAGGGCGGGCAGGGCCCATGAGTCAGCAGTCGCTGTCATCCGTGTGTAGCGTGGCGAGGGCAGTGTCGACCTCCACGCCCTCCTCATCAGACTGAACAATCGGGGACTCTCCGCCTTCAGGGGAGTCCTGGGTGGCCAGGTCTGTGCGGGTCACGGATGAGGAAGGTGACGTGGCTTGTGGGTCCGAGGGGCGGGGGACCTGAATGGTAATTTCATCTGGTCCGGTGCTGGATTCGGGCCCTGCGAACAGGTAGAGAACAGCCCCGTGGTCAAAGCACTGCCTGGTGGGATTGCCCCGAAGAGGAGCGTTTGCACTGGGTAGACTCCGGGGGTGTGCGTGTGCTGTTCGCAATCTGGGGGCTGCAGGACCGGAGGGCCCCTCCCGGTGATTGGAGGCTGCAAGAATTCCCAGAACAACAGGGCCTGAGCTGAGCCCCTGCCAGTGACATAAAGACCCTGACGCCTCCCTGCAGCGTTCAGTGCCAGAGGGGGCCAAAGGCAGGCCCGCGCCAAATGCTGCCTTTTCTTCGAGGGTCTTGATGAACTCGTGATCGTCTCCATTTACTCCTCACACCCTCTGAAATCAGTGCCGGGGAAAAACCCTGCTGCCCTTTTCGCGGTTCTCCAATTTCATGGGGACTAAAGCTCTTAAAGGAATGAACACTCGTGTTTCTACATCTCGCCCGCTCTGGGAGGGCGCCGGTGTGCACCCCGCCCGTTTCCAGCGTCCCCAGCCTCTCGGGCGGAGGCCTCGCCTCCCGGGCAGTGCTGCTGTCCCAGGCTGGCCGGGCGGGGACGCGGTGGCCTTGTTGAGATGGCCGCGCACGCCGGCAACCCACGAGGCCTGGCCCCGGCGACAGCGTCCGGAGAGGCCAAGGTGCTGCGAGAGCCGCGCACGCCTGCCCTCCCTCCCGCGGTGGCATCGTGTGAAACCTACCAGGGGTCTGAAATGTAAAGTAAACAGAGCCCAGGCGTGCTCTGGAGCCTCCGGGAGTATTCGCTGAGCGCACGTGAAACAAAACCCGGGAAAGGCACCACGTGGCGGCCAAGTGTAATCCGAGCCCAGTACCCGCTTCCTCAGGGAGAACCCGAAGACCACGCACCAGCCGCACGGCGGCCCAGGCCTTCAGTAACTGCCAGGCCCTGACTGAAAGGGACGCCCCAGAGAGGCGCAGGCGGAGGCGCCCTGCGTGCTGACGGTACCTGGGCGGCGCGTGGAAGCCCTCAGAGGATCCCAGGCTCCCCCGCGTGTGTGGGCGAGGGAAGGGGCCAGGTGACTCTGGCGTCGTCCCGGGTGGGGGAAGCCATGAGGTGCGGGAAGGGCCGGCGCCCCTACCTCGGCCGGGGGACTGCGCGGCGTCCTCTTCCCCCGAGTTCAGAAAGACGTCCAGGGCCTCGTGGTCCGAGATGTCCATCAGGTCCATCTGCTCCAGCACGTCGATGTTGACCTCCATGGACGACATGCTGCCCATGGGCTCTGGGGACGGGGCACAAGATTAACCTCCGTAACGCTCTGAAAGGTGAGCTTCCGTCGCGCGGGGCTGCCTGTGCTCTCCGTGTGAGATGCCGCCTGCTGCTCCCAGCATTTCTCGGCCCAAACTGGAAGCATCCGAGCCCCTTCTGCATTCTCCGCGCATCTCCCCCGGCAGTTTGCCTGTTCGCCCCAGTCCTCTGCGCGCGGGGGATGACTCAGTAGTCCCGCGAGCGCCCTGCACTCCCTGCACACAGGCACACCTCTGCCCTCCACCGTAGTCCCAAAGTTTGTGTTAATTTCACCGCCCTGAGGCCATCGCAAGCTTAATCCGCTGCGATCTCAACTGTAGACAAGGTTCGGGCAGCTGCACGCTGGCGAGCTGGACCCTCCAGGGCGCGCCTTGCCGGGAAAGCGCAGAGCAGGGGGAAAGCCCTCTCACCCACAGAGGGGCCCGAAGACCCCTGCTGGGTCTGCAGTTCACCCGGAAGCTCCCTGTGGCCCGGGAAGCCGTAAGCCAGTTAAATGAGGTCACCCCGATCCTGAAGCAGAAGCAAACAAATCGCCTGTGGGGATGCACCCTGAGCTTAGGTCTCGAATAGAAACTCAATCCCGATCCAACCCAGAGTTCACAGCTCCTGGGAGTCCAGCACTGTGTGAGGTCAGCAAGAACAGGGCAGCTTCCCCAGAGGAGGCCCCTTGAACATGTGAGTGAAATGAAAGCTGCGATGAATACACGAGCTGGTGTCAAAGAGAAGCCAGGCCAAGCGTTCAGAAAAGAGCCAAATCCCTTCCACATAGGAAAAATCCAATCACTGACACTTGAGACTTTGAACGCAAAACAGGAAAGAAACCAGAAGCCAGGACACATTCCCCACCGGCCAGCACGGCAGCCGAGGGGAGCCGAGGCGCCCAGGGAGAGAGGGGAGAGAAGATGGCAGCGGGTGCTGAAAGCAGCTCATCGTCTTCCAGGCCTGCCTGCAGGACCCGAGGCCCCAGGCTTGCGACCAGGGACGACAGATAAAAGAAATCCTCACCCATGTCAACTGCAGTGGACCGAGGAGCCCCAAGGAGAACAGAGCAGGTGGCAGAGAAGGAAATGGACCAACGACGTATCCACAGCCTGAGCCAGTGGGGTGACCCATTCAAAGGGGCGAGAGGAACGGCGCAGCTAAGACCACACGCCGTGCAAGCGTACGCAGGCTCAAGCCAAGGCCCTGTCCAGACAGCAACCCTCGCCACGACCTTCTCTCCAAAGTCAGGATTAGACAGGAGGGCGGCGAACCCCAGAAAGGCGGTCTGAGGGGCCAGGATGGAAAGGCTGATAAACACGTGAGCAACCTAACTCTGGGCAAAGCCCTAATGCTGGGGAGCCGGAGACGGGGGTGCTCTGAGAGCCGGGGCAGGGGCCATCCCTGGGAGTCTGGAGAGGAGGAGAAAACCTGTCAGCCACATAGTCAGGCATCTCAGCACTGTTAAGAGGGAGAGTAATTTCTCTCTTGGCCGAGGGAGAAGTTCTTTAGCCCCAGAAGACCCCGCGCTGGGGCCACACCCAGAGCAAGGAGTCAGGAGCGCGGCCCAGGACATGCGGCTGCAGACCAGGCACGAGTGGGCCCCGCAGACGGCCCCCCAGTCCTCAGGGCGCGCCAGTGCGCTGCTGGCCTGGAGCTGCGTCCAGGCCCACAGGTCAGAAGGGAGGGCACAGCTCAAGCCTGTTCCCGGAGGGGTGCTCTGCAGGGTGCGGGGCTGCAGGAAGGGGAGGGCCCTGGGGGCTGGCTTTCTGCCATGAGTCCGGAGCCCTTCTGGCTTTGGCCTTGCTTTGACTGTGGTGCGGAAAGAGGCCGTGCTCCCTTCCGTGCCCGGCCTGCCTCTTAGCGGCCAAGATGTAACTTTCAACAAGAGGAAAACAAAGAGGTCTATAAAGTTTCAGAAAAGCTTTCTGGAAAACAGAAAGCACCAAACAGGATGCCAGGTTTGACGGCAGTCGCTGCAAATGTGAACCCACCGTTTGCTACACAGACACAGAATGAATTAAAGTGATCGGCCTAGTTACAGGCTGCTGAGAAGTCACCACCATCCGGTTGTCAGAAAAGTCATGACGCGGTTTTGCTTGAAAAAGAGAAAAAATACGCAATGACTTTTCCAACCACCCCCCAAAAATAACAGAGAAACAGCAAAAGCTAACGAAAAGCAGTGAGTGGGCAAATGACCAACTTGAAGAGGAAGGTGTGAGGGAGCCTTGGAATACCAAACAAAACAGACTTTAATGGGAAACAAAAGCCACGCTGGGGTAAAAGTGGGCCTTCATCATTTTTTTTTAACATTCAGTTTGCCGGGAAGACGACGAAATATTTCCATGTGGCTGTGTATTCTGTGGCCATCTTTGTGAGGTAAAAAATGGCAGAATGACAAGAAAAATGCAACATCCATAACTTGGGGGGAGGGAGCAATGGCATTGCTGTAACTCCTCAGTTGCTGATAATTAAGCGATCCAAACCTCAGGAGTGGGGACCTCTTGACCAGAGTTAACGAGCTTGATGAAATGGTCCCGGGCAGCGCCCGTGCTGCCCCCAGGACCCTGGGAACAAGTGTACGTGAAGCGTGCAGGGAAGCGCTGTGACAGGCCCTGACGTCACTCTTAAACAAAAAAAACAACAACAGAAAACCAAAATCTCACTCTCTAGCCACATGAAACTGAAAATATGACTTCAACATTTACACAGGGACCGGCAAGGAAGAAAAAGGGTCGCCTGGCGCGTGCAGGGCCGCGGGGACGTGGTTCTCTCACCTGCGCAGGTGACACCGGGCCGGACAGCGTGGGGCTACCTGGGCACCGGAGAATGTGGCGCTGCTCTCGGGCCTCCACCCAGCCCAGGGCGCACCCCTGCCCCAAGCACAAGCCAAACTGTCTCCAGACACGGCCGGATGTCGCCCTCCGTTCGGAGCCGCTGCCTGATGAAGAGGTCTAATCAAGGACACAGGTTGGCTCAAGGCTGGACGCACCGGAGAGGGGACCGTGCCAGGCTGTAATAAGGACTCGCCGGTGCTGAAAGGGGCAGACGACAGGAAGCGGCGGGAAAGCAAGGTGGGCGCTGAGACACACAGCTGCTGCGATGGGAAAACATGAAAACTGCAAACTTCCCTCCCAACACACACAGAAATCAAGTAGATTTCAGAGCAAAATGGAAAATGGAAAACAAAAACTTTCAGAAGAAAACGCAGCGGGATGTTGCTACAACCGTAAATTCACGCCCGAGTCCTGCCCGCGGCTGCACCGGCGGGAAGGCTTTCCCGCACACGACGCGCGAGCACAGAGCACGCGGGGACGCAAAAGTCAAGCCGATCACGTTAAAAAACACACTTATTTAGCAAAGGCCACTCGCGCAGAGACCAGACACTGACCGCCAGGGGGTTCGCCACCAGCCTCGTCCGCCAAAGGCCGGTCAGCAGCGGCGCGAGGCTGGAGAGGCCGCGAGGACGGTCAAGGGGACACCGAGACGACGTCCCTCTCACCCGGAGACGCGCCCGACTAGCGCCAGGGACACCGCCGAGCGCGGCCAAGACGCGGGATGCGGAGGACACAGCGCCGGGGACGCCGTGCGGCCCGGCCCGGCTCCCGCCGCGGGTGGGGGCTCCGGACACGCGGGCGCGGGGCGGCTCCGGGCACCGCTCGGGAGCAGCAGTTCTCAGGGCGCGGCCCGGGCGAGGGGCCGCCGCGTGCCCGGGGCACAGGCTGGGCTGCGGATGCGCGGGCCACCCCCAGACCCGCCGACCGCGAAGCCCGGGAGGGCCGCGGCCTCCTGCGTCTGCACCGGCTCCCGGGAAGGCGCGCGTGCTTTTTAAAAAAGCCCCTGGGAACAGTGAGACGCCTGCTCCGCCAACGGGCACGTGTGTGAGCATCGGGGTGGAGGATTCGCGGACACCAGCCTAAGGAGCCGCCGTCTGGGCAGACAGCGGCGGCGCCACGTCTGGAGCGCGCAGGGCCGCGGCTCGGGAGCAGCCACGCGGGCGATGCAGGCGCGAGGACACACGGCGCGGCGGGGCTGCATCGGGAGGGTCACAAGAAGGGGCCCGGGGGCTTTCCGGATGGAGTTTGGGGGTCCATACAGGGATCATGATATTATTTTTGTACCGACGTGTGTCTGGGATATTCCTAACAATGTCTAAATGTCGAAAGCAAATATGGTAAAATATGAACATGTTAAATCTGGAAACATGAGCATGTTACATTATGTTTCATTTTCTGGATATCTGAAATATTTTCTAATTACAGCGAGGGATCGCAGTATGTTTCAAAGCTCTAAAACCCATCGGGAGACAGCTCAAAGCGAAAATCTTAGTTGGCAACTGTGTTTTGAGATATTTTTCATTCTGGAAGATATTTTGGGGAGCACTGAATTCTGGTTCTGGTGCCTATTATCTCTTCCATCTCTCCTAGTTCTACTGTTAACTGTATCGCCAGGTAAAACAAGCGGCACCTCCTCTTCCAGGGCCCGGGCGCGCTGTGGAATAGCTGAGTCGGGGTGGGGAGCACCTGCTCACGCCCGAGGACGTGCTGGTCCGGCACTGCATTGGCAGCATGCCGCAGGGTGCCGAGCTGTGACTGTGGGAACACACGGGCATGGACAGACCCGGGCATCGCCAAGGCGAGGCATTCATTACTAACTGCACTGTCCAGATACCCTGGCGCTCGGCAATGAAACACAAGCCATGACAATGCTTCTATGAGAAAGCCGGAGACGGCGCAGGTAGCAGGGCACCCGGGCCAGAGTCTCCCCAGGTCCCTGGCTACGTCCAAGGAGCCCTGCGACTCCGGCACATCCCTCCTCCCCTTGGAGCCCAGCGTCTGCCTGCTTGGATTCTCCAGTCTTAGCACCACCCCGGTGCCCTTCACCCTTTATTCTGAGGATTTTCTGGATAAAATTTTCATGCCTTTGTCACAATTAAAAAATGATGCTTTGGAAAGTGAGAAAACTGCAGACTGCTATTTCTGACTTAGTGGGATGAATCCAAAATACCACGTTCTCTGTGGAGATTTATTCTGATTGATTCTTCTAAATTAAACGTCACGTTGCTCCCTGGAGCAACGTTGCTCCCACGTTGCTCCCTGGAGAGGAATACTTTGCAGGAAAGGAACGTGACCTGCCCGGCCGGGGTACCGTGCACGGACTCTGGCCTGTTCTCTGCGGCAGTCCTTCCAGCTCCAGCTGAAGCAGAAAGTGAAAAAGCTCACATCCTCCAGTTTTCGTCTTTCATGCTTTCAAAACCATGTAAACTGGCAACATGTGCCCGGCTCTATTTTTTCTGTCTCAAAAAAGCCCAATGCTTTTTGAAACGTAAAAGAATGCTCTTTTTGATCGGGTGGTTGACCCCAGCAACACTGCATCCACAGCATCTCCAGGGCCGGCGCCGCACCCCAGCCCCTCTCAGGGTGTGTGGGCATGGGAAGGGGTCCTCCCGAGCCTGCTGTGCTCCTGCTGCGTCCGCCCCTGGGCTGTGGCCAGGGGTCTCCCTATGAAAGGGGAGTTTCTTCAGACACCTCTGTCTGCTCTTGGCCGCCCACGGGCCTGAAAGCGAGCTGGACACTAAGCAGACGCTGAGCTGGAAGCGTCTGTGGGGCTGAACTGAACTAGGCTGGAGCTAAAATGTCTGACACGAAGATTCCTGTCCTCTTCACTGTCCTACCTCCCCGACACCCTCTTGGTTTACTGTCTCATATGCGCAACTCAGTAGGTCAAATTTACCAGACTGTGTCTGTCTGTCTGTTACGGACTGAAAGTCTGTGTGTCCCAAATTCCGTGTGTCGCAGCTGTGACCCCCAATGTGTGGGGGTTCTGGAGGTGGGGCTTTGGGCGAAGACGAGGGTTGGAGAGGCCAGGCCCTCACGATGAAGGCCAGGCCCTCACGACGGGATCAGGGCACATCTCACAAGCGACCTCACTGCTGTGTGAGGACACAGCGAGACACAGCCAGGAACACAGCCCGCCTCACACCCCTGGGACAGTCCCCACTTGCCTCGCCTCTCTGCGATCTGCAGGTAACCTGTAGAAAGGTACTGTTCCATGTCTTGCTGGAAGGCTTCCTCAAAAAACTTCTGCCGCTCCTTCAGCTTCATCTGTTGGGCCTGCTCCATTTCCAGGACCTTCTGGGTATGCTGTGCATCTAGTTCAGCTAAGGAGACAAAAGAAATTGCACCAGGGTTTGCAAAGGAGCTGGCATGGGAAACGGGCATACACAGCCACTCCTGTCCACCCGCCCAGCTGACAGTGGCGCGTCTGCCTGTTCCACTCAGGCTGGCCCCCCATGAAGACACAAGCGGCCTCCCCCAACGCTCCCCCTCAGCCCCCCACCATCTCGTCCCGTTTCCTGGCTCGCCAGACCCCTTGGCAATCTAGGCCTTCACCTGTGCTAGGCCCTCTGCCTGGCATGACCGTCTCATCCACATCTCCCACTTTCCACAGAACAGACCAAATTCTCTGCTGATCTTTCCACTGACTCACATGGGGTTTGCTCTTCAGCGTAAGGTTTGCATATCACTGTCAACAAACTTTTGGAGCGGACTTGATGTAAACGTTACAGTATCGTGGTAAAGACTCGGAGTTTCTGAAAGACTGTGACCACGTATTGTTCTTGTTAATGTCTTAGGGTCTACTTTTCACTTTGCAACCCGGCTAGGTTAAGTAACCTTTCTGAGCCTTACACTGCTCATCTGAAAATTTGGGCAAGAATACCAATGCAGGGTCTCCCTGGTGGCGCAAGGGGTTCAGCACAGCGCTGTGAAGCTGTCCGCAGTCTCTGTGGCACAAGTTCAATCCCCGGCTGGCCGGGGAGCAAACCCACATGGCGAGCAGACCTCTCCTGTCTCGCCCGCTGCTCCCCTCAACAGTGTGCTTCGATCGATCTGCCTGTTCTGTTCTCTACTCTGTCTCTGGTGAATCCTCTCACCGCCTGCACCTCTGGCCTGTGCCCCAGTTCTTGTACGCATAGATAGAAAGATCTTTAAAAAAAAAAAAAATACCAATGCAATGGCATTTCACTGATATGGAAGATAAGTGATAATACTGAAAGAACTTTACAATTAACACAAGTAGTGACCATGCAAGTTAGGAATGAGTAAAAACCGGCCAGAACTAGTAAGATAATCAGTCTTAACTTCATCAAGCAAATAAGAACCCCACATTTACCACTGCAGAAAAGCTTTCAGGTGGTTTCCCCTTTCCTCAAAGCAAGCACTGAGGATAGAAAGCAGGAAGTCCAGGACCAGGCGTATCCCACTATTCACCTTGTACCTGGCCCAAGGATAACTTCTGAAGCTTCTGTCTCCTCTTAAATCTTTTGGGCATCACATGGTATGTGGGAAAGAGCCTAAGGCAGCCTCCAAGACTCTGCAACCTGGCTCACACCCCCTGCAGAATCCCCAGGAATGTTAAGTTTACTGCCATAGTTAGGTTACGCGTGCGGCACAGCAAGAGGCTTTAAGAAAGAGGCTGTTAAATGGGACTGAGGTTTTCCTGAAGGAGAAGATCTGAGTGTAGAGGGAGTTTTGACACTTGGGTCTTCTCCTGTGCTGACTCTGAAGATGGAGGGGACAGACGGGCAAGGGATGCAGGTGGCGTCCAGGCACTGACAGTAGGTCCGGGCTGACACAGACCTTGGCCTACCACCCTCCCACGAACAGAGACCGGAACTCTGACAATATCCTGAATGAGCTTGGAAGCAGCTTCATCTCCAGAGTGTCCAGAAGGAACGCAGCCTGACTGACACCCAGGTGCAGCTGCAAGACCCTCAGTGGAGGACTCAGGCACACCAGACCTTGACTTCCGATCTATAGATAGTGAGCTAATAAATGTGTGCTGTGCAAACCACCAAGTGTGTGAGATGCCCTGTGACGCAGAAACATGGGATTACTCCAGATAAACTTTCCCATTTCAGTACCAGACAAACCTGATTTGCTAAAGAGCAGGAAAGGATAACCTGCGTTCTCTCCCTTGAACAAATATTTGCAACACACCTACCACATGGCGGGAGGCTGTCCCCTATCTCCCGCCCCCTATCTTTGTGTAGAGGGAGATGGCCTGCCTCTGTGGAAAGAGTTTGGGTTCTGGAATCAGTCCCAACTCATGTCCTGTTCCTTTTAATAGACACTCCTGGCTCCTGCCATCACACCCCCATAGCCCAGCTCTGCAGTAGCAGGCAGCTCTGCGCCAGCTCATGCGCTAGCGCGCAAGGTCCCACTCACGGCCACAGCCTGCGCACGTCTGCTCTCTGGTCACCGTTCACTGAAACCCGGGGAACCCACAAGCCAGCAGAGCCCAGAAGATCTGGGGAAATCAAAGCGGCACTCAACCAACAGGCGGCAGAGGCCAGCAGCATCCACGTGCCTGTGGCCCACTCTGGCCCTGGAGGCGCCCGATGACATCTCAGACTTCCTGGTGGAACAGGAGCCCCTGGGCTCCAGCAGGATCCTCAGGGACACCCCCCTTCGTTGACTTTTCCTCCGTCACTTCTTCTCACTCACTGCTGTTTCCTGGCATAACCTCCCAAATAAGCCATCTGCAGCCAAATTCTCATCTCAGGCTCTTCATCCAGCCAGGACACCTACGAGCTATAACTGCATCTCTCTGGGCCTCAAATTCCTACTCTATGTAAGAGCCACACACACAAAAAAAAAAAACATTTCATCAGGCTGCTGATAGGACTAAAAGCGGTTACACTTGAATCACCAGGTGCACAGCACGGACCAACCGCTGACTAGTATTAACACCAGCAATTATTTAAGACAAGACTCTAAAATGGAAATATAAGCCATGAGGCCGGGTGACACTGGATCATCCAGCTTGCTCAGCCCCACTCAAACGCATAACAGTCACCTTTCAGTGCCCTGATAAATGTGCAGGGAAGGAGAGGAACAGGAGGGCTGAAGAGGGCGCCTTTTCATGTGCTTCACGTCAGCCGTCAATCTGCCTGTTCACATGCTTCCTGACTACCAAGGGCATTCGAATAAGTCAAAACAAATATTGAAAACTTCCGGGCCTCCGTTGGTGGCACAGGCGGTTGAGCACTGCGCTGTGAAGCTGTCCATAGCCTCTGCGGTGCCTGTTCGATTCCGGCTGGCCGACGAGGGTCCCACATGGTGCGGCAGACCTCTCCTGACTCGCCCGCTGCTCCCCTCAGCAGTGTATTTCAGTCACTCTGCTTATTCTGCTCCCCACTCTGTCTCTGGTGAATCCTCTCACCCTCCCGCACACCTGGCCTGTACCCCGATTCTTGTATAAATAAATCTTTCAAAAAAAAAGTTAAAAACTTCCATCAAAGTTGTTGATCTCTCTCTCACGCACGCACACACACACACACACACACAGAAATTCCAGAATAATCAGCTCTAAAAGATCAATGTGGAAATCATCAAAGGGATTTTAAAGAATATCTGATTATACCTGAATGAAGATTTTCCTGAATGACAGTTACATAATTTGAAAACCTTTCATTCTCCCCAAGGCTTATGCTTTAAAAACTCAATTCTCTCATGTTTATGAATAATAGGTTCTGTAGTTTTTTATCTTAGATTTTCTTATATTGGAATGCAATCTAATCACACTCCGTCACTCATGAAATACAGACAGGGTTGGATGAGGGAACTTAAAATGATTTAAAGAGAAGCAGGAAAACTGTTTTACCTTTTGAAAACATGTCATACATTAGTTGCCTGAATTATTCCTGACTGCCCTGTATCAGCTCCCACTGTTTGCTGGAGCCCTTCTCCTGTCCCAGGACTAACCAGCTATAATCACCGAGGACTGAGTGGTTCTGGTGGACCAGCTCTGCACTCAGGACGATAATGAAAGGCACGTGGCAGACAAGAAAGTAACTGCTGTCCAGCAGCTTAGAAGATTAGCCTGCAGCTTCGTGCCCGAGTGAGGATGTTCTTACTGTGCTGTCTGTCCCGGAATCTCAGTCCCGCTTTTGCCAAGAAACAGCCACATCTGGGAGTGGTGATATGATGGAAGGATATATGAGGGAATATTTAAAATCTTGATATTTAAAATCTGAATTGTAGAATGACTAAGGAAAAATCTAAAAAAAAAAAAAAAAAATAGGCCGTTTTCTGCAAGGAAAATGACCCCTTGGTTTCACATATGTCATTTGTTATATTGAGAAATGTCAGACAAATACAAAGATTTAAAGAACTTTAACAAATAGCCTGAAGACTGAAAAGAAAGAAAACATGAAGATGCAATGGTTTTACCACCAGGAGTCGAGAGATCATTTAATTCCATTATCAACCTAGGTCTGAGTTTCCTTTTCTTTCGACTCTGGATCATTGCTCAAGTTTTATTTGACTGCAACATCCACTTCTGCAACCACTATCAATTTCAATTGGATAATTACTCAAAACAATACAAAATCCCATTACAAGTGAAGATGATACAATCAATTCTCAATTACACGTTTTAATGGAGCATAAGGAGGGCACAAGATGTGTGAAATATGAAAAAAAAAATCCATCAAGCTCATTTTAGGAACAATTTCAGCATATTCCACAACTAAACCTTTAACCACGTTGGTAATAAAAGATAGTGGGTGTCCCCAAAGTTGCTGGGAGATGGAAATTGATGATGTGAGTAAAACCAGGATAAATCTCTCAGTTAAAAGAGCTAATGAGAATTTCTCTAATCCAAAAAAATGTTAAAACACAAACAATAAAATTTAATTGAATGAGTTGAGAAAAATTTCAGTAATTCCTGCATCAAAGATAACATTTTTTTCATTCACGATAATCAAGAGTAAAAATAGGTTTAAAAGTCTGTAATTACAAACCCATGTGTTTTTATATTGAGTTAGAGAATATGAATTTTGGACACCAGAACACACGTGACTGTGAAATCTCTGTAAATTTCTAAACAAATTTACAAGTACAAATAAAAACTGTTTTTCATAAAAACTGCCAACAGGTTGTCAAACTACTAAACCACTAAAAGTCCACACTAAATTCTGCCAATGTGACAGAATTTAAAATTAGCAGTGACTAATTTTTCTGTGCTAATTATTTGCATTTATTTAATAGGTTTTTTGACACATGAACAATGCATGTGTACACTGTGGAAAATTTTTTGATCATAAAAAGGCACAAATAATTAGGTGGAAATTCCTGTGAAATTAAAGTCGAGTGC